GCACAGGGAATGCCGTCGTGGCCGGCGTCCCTTGGGGCTGACCCTGCTGGGGCAGCAGCTGCGGGGGCGAGGCGTGTGAGGAATGCAGCTCCCCTCCTTGAACTTCAGCAACGCGCCAGCAATGTCAGCCTCAGCACATCTCTCCGCCGACTGCAGGCCCAGATTAGCCGGTGGCTGCATGGCCGTCTGCAGCGTAGCTACACCCCAAACAGTGGCAGCTGCCTTTGGGAGCGCGGGGGCTGCGTGGTCTAATGTCTCCAGGGTCTAATGTACCCTGCTTCAGGGACCTTGCTTTGTCTTAGGTGATGGGGGACACTTTGGGTTCTTTCTCCGTGCCTCAGTTTCCCTTCCCTTGCCTGGCCTATTTGTAGCGTGGAAGCATTTCTGGGAGCGTGGGGAGGAGCCAGGCTCAACCTCAGGATAAGGAATTGTTTTGTCCGCCTAGGGCAGGTACGATACAGATAGCGAAGCCAGCAGACAGCCATGTCAGCAATTGCTGGGATTTATATACCTTAATCCTTTCAATCCAGAGCTTCCCCACAGGGCAAGGAGCACAGGACCTCCCTGTCCGTGAGGCTCTGAGATCCGTTGGCTCGCTGCATGCCGGGCACTCGGCAGCTGTGAGGAAGGAAAGACCTGCTGGCCACCTCCCAGATAGGAATGGTTTTGCCAAAATCAACCATCCGGGCCTCTCCCTTCCTAGCACATAAAGCCAAGTGGTCCCTGATAAATCTCAGCCTCAAACTACAGTGTGGGAGATGTTAAGAAAGGCTAATGAAAGCAGCAGGATCCAAAAAATACCCACATCTGCAGAGTCCTGGCTGCTTCACTGGCAGGCGTGCAAACCCGTGCCGTGGACAGGAGAGGATACGTCGCCCCAGATTGGGAAGCTTTTTCTTGACTCCGTAAAAGGAGCTGTAGAAAAGAGGAACTGTCAGGCCCTGGAGAGCCTCTTTAAGCCATCTTCCCCGCAAGTTAGAGCAAGAGACAAACCGCCCAGAGATGGGGAACTGGGCAGACGAATGCCCAGCCCTTCCCAGCACTCAGACCTTTTCTTAAAGAGTTTAGAGTTTGGCATCTGAGACTAAAAATCACCCCTCACTTTTAAAAACCTGTGTTCAATCCACATTCAGCAAAGAAGAAGAAAATAAAGAAGCAAACATAATGATTATAGTAAATCTCCACCATGAGGTTTGACTCCTCACTCAGAGCACCCTGGCTGCGTGGTGGCTGTGGTAGGGTCACCCTGGCATAAATGGAGATCCATGCTGCTATGCTGCCCCTGCCGTTCCCCTTACAAACCACACCAGGTGACAGAGAAATCGTGCTTCATTCCTTCCTACTGTGAACTGAGGTTCTCCCGAAGGTCTCCCAAACGTTATCCGAAGACCTCTGCATTGCCTGGGTGCTGGGAACACATCAAGCTGAATTCTCTGCTGGTGAAACCTGAAAGGTTTTATGTTCACGGCTCCAATCGCACTGAAAAGGCGGAGGAGGGCAGATGCCCTGCAGGTTTGTCACTAACCTCCTATCGACGTAGGTGACCAGGATTTAGGCTTTGCTCACCATGTGGTTCCAGCAGATTTGTGGGTCTTTTAGGGTTGATTTTTCTTTTTTTTAGAGAGGATGGGCTGCATGACTATGCTCAGCCTCTGAGCACTCATCCTCTCCCGCCTCTCAGGTTGCTCTCTCCTGTAATTCACGCTCACCACCTCCCTGTTTTTGGCCTCAGTAGCCTCCCACAAAGGACAAAAGAACTGGCTGGTACTTTTGAAGTTTGCCTTTCACCTTCCTTCTCTCTAGTTTCACTATTTACACACTGAATGCTCTGTTATTTTACTACTCTGCCTGCATGTCTCAGTGCGGGAGGGAGAGGGGAAATCAGTTGGCAGTGCCCCGTGTGAGACAAGGCTGCTGTCCTTCCCGTGCCCCGAGGAGCCCATTTCAGGCTGATGCTGAGACCTCTTCCCACCACCAAGGCAGAACAAAGCCACATCCAAATGACTAAATTACAGCCCCATTCACTTTATATGGCCTCATTATACTACCAAGGCTGTGTACAAGAGGGAATCAATTCCAAGTGAGCACCAACCTGCCTCTCCTCCCTGCACTGCAGCTCTGGCTGAAGGGCAGATGTACCCGCAGGCGCCTGTATCCATGTGTGCACCCACTCCCCCAAAATACCTGGGGGGGGCTGAACCTGCCCACTTTGTCTGAAACTTAGAAATGGGACCCCAAAATCATCCTTTTAATGCACTTAGATGTTGCTTATTCTCAGTTCTTAAGCATTTTAAGAATGCTTTTAGCAAGGCCTGCTGTGTCAGGACAAGGGGTGATGGTTTTAAACTGAAGCAGGGTAGGTTTAGACTGGATCTAAGGAAGAAATTCTTTACAATGAGGGTGGTGAAACCCTGGCAGGGGTTGCCCCGAGAGGGGGTGGAGGCCCCATCCCTGGGAACATCCCAGGCCAGGTTGGCCGGGGCTGTGAGCAACCTGATGTGGTTCAAGGTGTCCCTGCTCCTGCAGGGGGGTTGGGCTGGGTGACCTCTGGGGGTCCCTTCCAACCCAAAACATTCTGTGATTCTATGATTCTATGATTTTATAACTGGCCTGCACACAGGCGCAGCACTCTGGGCTGTGTGTGGCAGGGTCTCTTGTGCGTGTCATGGGTAGGCAAGCGTGGCGTTAGAGCCCCAGCGCTTGTCAGGCCAAGTCTTTTGAAGGACTAGCTACACCCGAAGGGTGTTTATCTGAACCAGTTACACCCATCCTTTCTGCAGCCTCCTGTAGATATTCCTAGAGGCAAGATGTTTGAGAGCCGGCTCCCTGAGCTCACAGTGGAGGAGGGAAGGGCTGGGGAAGTCCCAGTGACCTACATGAGCAAACATCTGGAGTAAGGACTTCTGCCTCAGCCGCTGTGTCACAGCTGGGGGCTCAGAAGGGATCGGCTTTTCCCGCTGCAGATGAATACGGCCAAATTCAGCCAAGATTCTTGGAAAGAGGTGGATTGTAGGATGGTGCTGGGAAGAGAGAAAAGCCGATTAGAAATGCACAGGGAGGATATCTAGACGTTATCCGCGAGAGAGGTTTCCGTATCTGTTCATAATAGCACATACACAGTGGCTGTTGTTCTGAGCAGAAATAAGCAGTAGCTCCTGGGGCTTCAGGAATAGCTGTGCACAGCGTCTGCCTCCTCGTTCTTGAAGACAAACTCAGGGGATAGATGGGAAACGGATGGAGGGGGAACTGCAGTCATTACGCAAGGCCAGATGGTCAGTTTATCTGTGTCTCTGGTTAGAAAGCTGGTTACAGCATTTTAGACAGCCCCTTTGTTTAAATTGTATTGAAAAAATCATGGGGAATTCCTTCAGTGCTTCCCAAAACTAGGGAGGAAACATATTAAATGGGGTGGAGTCCTTTCAGGAAATCCAGGAGCTAAGACCTCATCACCGTCTGCCTTTCCGGCACCTGAGTTACTCAAACTCCACTGCAGATCCCAGACTGTAATGACCCCGGCTGGAGGCAGATTAAGCAGATTGACGTGGATTTGAGCCTGCTGGAGTTCTGGCCTCCGTGGATGTGCAAAACCAAGTTCTCTCCCATCCCAGTTACCTACATTCCTCACAGTGACCATGGAAAGAGTAGAGCTGCTCTGTTGCAGCAGTGGGACATGAAGATGGTGCATTTAAGATAGCAATGACAAGGGGCCAGGCAGAAGGCAGGCTGTGCATTCTCTTCTTTGTTCCAAGTGTCCCCTGAGTGATGGCACCTTCAGGTCAGGGGTCTGTCTGTCACGGGACAGTATCAAGAACTCTGGCTTCCTCTTCTGCTCAGCCACAGCCTCCACAACCCGGTGCAAATCACATCTTCAGGCCTCTGCGACACTCATCCATAGCTGTGTGCCTGCCACACCATGGCTAATATAGAACATGTTGGGGAATAGACCTGGAAAAAGTGACATCTTGCAAAAGCTGCAAAGTGGCCGCTCGATGACTCCCTAAAGGACAACCAAGAAGTGCTCCTGTCAATGAAGGCCAAGCTCCAGCACTCTTTTCCGTCTTGAAACCTTCCATGAATCCTGCCAGCCACCCGGCAGTGAAAGCCTGGCAAGCAGCTGCCAAAACAAAAGCCACGATCTGGGCAGCCTGGATGAATTCTGCCCATAGCCCCTTCACAAGGGAGGAGGCTCAGCAGCGGGGGAGAGCAGCACATGCATCGTGTCAGTAATCTAGGACTGGATGTGCTTCATCCACCCCCCAAATCAGCTGTCAGCGCAGGCTTCAGTAATACCACCGGGTTAAAAATAGGAAGTGCTAATCTTTATCCCTCAAACTTTTGTTATGCTGTCTCCAGAAAAGCAACAAGCGCTAATGTGATTGCCCCTTTTAATCAGCAGATGAAAGTCCACCTCCTCCCAGCATCTCCTGCCTCCGCATGAACCTCCTCCGAGCAGGCAGGGTCCTCTCCTTGCTGCTGGAGTAAATCCCATTCGTTTTGAGGGTCCGCAAGCATAAACATAGGGAAAAGTCTCATCACACCTGCATGTCCGTTCAGCCTAGCCCCCATAACTTTGGGGGTGGGAGAGGCAGTTAAATCCTGAAGGAATCTGTAAACAAGCAGGAATTAACCTAGGAGACTGTGATTTTCAAGTCACCCTAAATATGCCCCCCTCATTCCAGAAGAGACTTGAGTGAAAACTAACACGTTGAAAATCTCTGCTTCTCCCTGCCAAACCCAAAATCTCTGCTTCTGCCCCCCAAAACCAAGCGTTCCCCAGCTAATAGTGCCATTACTGTATTTGTGCCTTAAGGTGGAAGGTTCTCGCAGTGTTTCAGTCACCGCTGAACACACCAGGGGCTCCAGCACAGGTTCTGGACATTCACCCCCCCCTGTGCAGACAGCGGCTCCAGCCAGGCTCCCCGCTGGCTTGCAGCAGCAGCCCTGTTACTGCCTCTCACATCTGACATCTGCAAGGCTGTAATTTTATTTTTGTTTTGCAGGTAAAAGATGAAAAAAACATACAGGAAATGTTTGACCTGAGTGATTATGAGAAATGCGAAGAGCTCAGGAAGTCCAAAAGCAGAAGCAAAAAGAACCACAGCAAATTTACCCTCGCCCACTCCAGACAGCCTGGAAACACGGTACGCTTTGCTCTCAAGGATGCGGTCAGCCCGAGAAAGCCATGGTGCAGGCCAGGCTGCCTCTCGGTTGCCTGCTCCAGGTCTGAGGGCTTGACACAGTAATTGGGGGCTGAAACTGGGTAGGCTGAGTTGTGCAGGAGTCCAGAGCAAGTCTTGTGGTTTAAAATACACAAACGTCCGTTTGCTGCATCAGGATTGATAGCAACAGTGAGAAACGGAGAGAGAAACGGAGAGAGAACCGGGTTGCTGCTGGGAAAGGCCGCGGGCCGCTGGTACACAGGGTAAATAAGACCAGGCACTAAGCTCTGGATCCGTTTACCTGCCAGTATTCTGACTTTGGGAAAGGAAGGTATCAGAACATTTGCCAGGAGCAAGGACAAAGCCATTTTACGGCCACCGCTCCTGCCAGCTGTGGTTTAGCTGACTGCACTCATTTATTCACAGGGGGAGGCAGGGAAGGGACAGATGCTGATGGTCCTTGGCTTTGCTGCCCAGATTTGGGCAGCATCAAAAGAGGTGCACGGGAATTTGTTCCAGGAGTTCTTTCTGTCCAGAGGAAAGCTAAAAAGTGCTGGAATGGGGGCACTGCTACCTACGAGCAGGACTTTACATGAGGTCTCAGTTGCTGCTGCAAAAAGAGAGCCAGTCTCTAACTGCAAGCTGTCTCTGGCACAGATGCACCCACCCACAGCCACACACGTGAGCTGGATTTACACTATTCCTTCTGACTTGTTTCAGCAGACCAAGCTTGCCCGCCCCACACTTTGATAAGGATTGTGTAACACCATGAAATGCAAAAAGGGAAGAGAAGGGGAAAATGGAAAGCGGCTGCACTGTCCCCCCAGCATCCTGAGCAATGGAGAGAATTGAACAAAAATGCTGTGCAGGCTAAAACTCATTTCTACTGAGTATCTCACTTAAAAAAAACCCCTAAGACTCTGTCAAAGTCTGAGGTGGCACCAGATAAATGGCATGTGAGCAGCAGATGCATAGAAAGGCTGCATCATCGTTTGATGAGGGCAAAATCTAGGATGGTGTGTGGGAAGGCAAAGAGGGGGAAGGAGGAACTGCAGCCACGAGGGAAGTAAATATGGTACACAGCTTTTGGTTTGAAAAGCTGGGGACTGTAAGCAATCATGGTCTGCTTTGCAAAGGGCTGCCAAGAAGCAGAGAGGCCGGGCGCAGTGTGTGGCAGACCAGGGCTGTTTTGCAGGACGGGAGGATCAGGTCTGCTTTGCCTTTTTCCCACTAAGCCAAGCCAGCTGTAAAGGCCGTGTAGCTTTTCTGTGGGCAGGGACAGTGTGAAAGCATCTCTGTATGAGTTTAGTCACTGGCACTGACCTGAATTCCCTCTTTTGTAGGCACCAAATCTGATCTTCCTGGCTGTGAGTCCAGAAGAGAAAGAGTCCTGGATTAATGCCCTCAACTCTGCAATCACACGTGCTAAAAACCGCATCTTAGATGAGGTGAGCAGGACTCTGAGGGCTGGACCAGGCTCCATGGTCTCAACTTTAATCTTGGGTGAAGATTTTAGACTGCTGAAGACAGCAGCAGCCCCACCTACCCTCTCCATTTCCTATTTAAAAGGAGTGCAAAGCCATTGGGTTTTATGGACCGCACTCAAAACACAGCCACCACCACCTATAGAGTGAGCTCTTCTCAAGGTCTGGGACGGTTTGATGCCCCCAGCCTCAGGATTAACACGCAGCACTGACTGCAAAGCAGTGGCCAGGGGCAGCTGGAGACAGCAGCAGCCCCACCTACCCTCTCTGTTTCCTATTTAAAAGGAGTGCAAAGCCATTGGGTTTTATGGACCGCACTCAAAACACAGCCACCACCACCTATAGAGTGAGCTCTTCTCAAGGTCTGGGACGGTTTGATGCCCCCAGCCTCAGGATTAACACGCAGCACTGACTGCAAAGCAGTGGCCAGGGGCAGCTGCTGAGGCTCTGTCACACCCAGCCCCAGTGAGATGCCTTCACTTTGGAGCCCAGCCTTGCCCCACGCAGGGATGGTGGGGCTGTGTTTGGAACGGTTTCCCAGGGCTTTGGAGAGTCTTTCCATGCTGCTCCTGGATGATCATGCAGCATGCTCGTTTGCAAAGGAGCTTTAAGTAGTGGAACTGAATTAAGGAATTAACTGAAAACCAATATAGTCCCATGCTATCTTCAGAGCGCCCTAATAGCGTGGCACCATCTGTCAGCCCACCTCAGTCCATCTTCATCCCACCTACCCCTCCCCTCTCAATCGCCGTCTCTGGGAGACAGGCCCACTTCTACTGCTTTGGCTGAAGGAAGGGGACTTACTGGGCATTTAAACTTTGCAGATCCTTTCCTACTGTTCAAGGGTCAAACCAGGAATGTTTAATCCTGCCTGCTCAGCACTGTGTGGCATATATATTTCTGTCAAGACAAGCCAGGCTCTCCATTTAGTGAAAAAGAAAGGGACAACCAGAGAGACGAGGCATTAGTGCACCGTGGGACAGCAATAGGAGGAGCCTGGAGCAGTAGAGCCCTGCCTACTTGAGACCATGTCCACACAAAGCCTAACTAGCATAGCTCCTGCCGCTTCCGAAGTGGCAGCATTATTGCCGCATGAAACTCCCAAAGTAACTACTACAATTATGCAAAGCAGTTTCTACTAGAAAAAAGAACAAAGCCACATCAGCTCAGCCTCCTCGGGGAGACAAAGTGTACACTTACAACCACAGCTGAGCTGAGAGAGGCCAGGTTTAGCTCAGTATGAGCATTCCCACATAGTTTATTCCAGTGTGAATGGTAACTACCTTGAGAAGGCTGTGCCCCTCGCTACCACGGCTGCAGCTTGAAAGAGCGTTTCAACGCTGTCGCCCATTAATGCTTCGTGACAACTATTCTTCAGTTTAGATCTGTCTCAGATCTATCTCATCCACATTCAACTTACCGCAATCCAGGCGGCTCACTGCTGTGATGCTGTTTGTTCTCCTGGATGGCAACACAAAACCCTGTAGTGAAGGAAAACGAAGGTCAGACCGTAGGAAAAGCTGTAGAGCAGAAAGCAGCATAGCAAACAATGGTATAGATTGCTTCAAGGAGAGTCTGTCACTGAAATCTTTACAAACAGATTCAACAGATAATTGTCAGGAATGACTTAACTCGATCTGACCCCATCAAGGCACAGAGGGGAGACACCAGGGGAGCATTCTAAGCCCAGATTCCCACACCCCATTCCCTGCTGGCTCTACCTGCAAATCTCCTTCTGTGCATCCCTGTAAGCACATAGATCAGCGAGTCCCACCTACAAGCCTTGGACCAGTGATGGCCCTTGGGATCACTATGCTGTCGACATCGTGCAGACAGGTTTTACAGACCTGTGTGTGCCTGGGCACAGGCACTAGGGAGGCTGTTATAGCCCGGAGCCCCCCAGTGACACTGAGTGGTCAGGCTGTGCTCCCAGACGCGATCCCGGCGCAGCTCGGCAGCTAGAGGAGTCCAGCAAGTTAGCACCTCGGGAATGCGTTGGTTTCCTCATTCCGGCTCAGTGCTGGGTTTGGTTCATGTGGGGATCACAGCTCTCCTCCTGTTCAGCAAACATTTGCACTACAGAACTGCAGACTCTGTGTTCTAGTTCAGGACTCTCACTGTTTGCCACCCAAGCTTCTGCCCG